CCTGCCACCAAAAAACACACACCAGAGACCCACCAGTCTCCCTGCCTGCCTAAAGATTCTGTAAAAGCTTCTGTACGCAGGTACAAAGCCAGCGACCACTCTCTCTCTCTGTGGGTAGAAAACAAACACACAGCCTGCAAGTGGCATATCAGCGCATGAAATTCTCTAAAGGGGTTTAAGTATTTACCCTCCCCACTATGACGGCCTGCTAAAATTCAGCTTACCCTGTTCAATAAGGACTTCAAAGGGAATCATAAATACCTTTTGCCCGCAAATTCTACTGTACAGTGTTTTTCTGCTCGCCCCCCTTTTCCTGCTTCTTTTCTTCCCATTTTCCCCCTCATTCTCCAATAAAAACCACCCCTTACTGTGACATTTATTAGAAGCCTTTTATTTACAGTTTATAAGTGTAATAAGATAAATTAATTTCTGATGTTATTCAAGCAGGCCAGCCGAAGGAGAAACACAGGTAAATAGATCTGTGGTTCATTTTGATCTGACAAGAGAACACTGCTCAGAAAAAAACAAAGCCAATGCGAAAGAAATGGCCCGAAAGATGAAGAAATGATGGGATCATGCGTTTGTTTTTGTGTCTGACTGCTGATTTTGAAAATACTCAAAGATTTATGGTTCAATATATGGTATTATTTTTATTATGTATATTATTTATACATATTATTTATATTATGACATATAACTATTATCTGATGCAATATTGGAATATTTTAATTACATATTAAGAAAAAAACAATAAAAGCTACAGTCACAAACAAAACATTTACATTTACACACACACACACACACACACACATACATACATACATATGATTTATCAACCCAGTATACACACAAATTATAATGTATAACTGCCACAACATGCAAAAATAAAAAAAGGGAAATCCATAGTAGCCCTGCGAAAGGCATTCTGGAAAATTATTATGATGAAAATGTACAGCAAAGCCCTTACATTTATAATGTTTTACAAACTCATCAAATAAGTGAATAGAGATTAATTGCCCCGGTCGACCTTAAAATAATTATCAGAACGAGGCAGCTCTAAACTAGATGAAATTGATACACTTGAATAATTAGATCCTTGGCACTGACCTAGTGAAGTCAATAAAGGTTATTAAGGCCAATTGCTGTCTAAACGCATTAGAGACAGAGAGAAGCGCTCCGCACCACATCCAGCATTTCAGCGGCTATACGATAATCCCCTCACTGCGTCCGCCTCTCTCTCTCTCTCTCCGCTGCCCTCACACACATATACACCCCCTACCCTCAGACACACTAAACCAGATTGGATTCGCTTAACCTTTCAGTGGCTTTGATCAAATGAGCTCACACTGCAATAACATTTACATTGACCCTCACTCTCACTCTCTCGCTGGGGAGAGAGGTCTTTACCTTCCTGTCTGCCACACACACGCGCACGCTAGGTCAATAACGTAATCAGATATCAATGGTGACCCCTGCAGTCATGATTGCTCGCTTTCTCTCGCTCGCTCGGTTTCTTTCATTGGACGGAGAGGATGAAATTATGAAACGGTCATTGTGCATGAATCAACACGCACACAAATAAAGAGCAACACAAACACCAGAGGAAAGGAACAGAAGATGCATCTAAACGGCTCACTGTTCACATAAACACATAATAGTTTCTATTCAGTCTGAAAATAAACGTTTCAGCACACAATACTTGATGACGGCGTATGTGGAAGAAAGACAGAATAGATGCAGTTAGAGAGGAAAAAAGCTTTTTTGATGTGACGCTCTGAGCGACAGAAGTGGAAAAAGTGACAAATTAGACCTAAAAAATCAGAACAAACCAGAGATATTGTTAATACACCTGTCTCACTCTCAGCCCTGAATTTACAGAAAAGAATAAAAAAAATGCCTGGGTGGTATTTAAAATATTTTGCATATAGCCAACTATCTCTCCTGTGCCAGGATAGACAGACTGATAGAGGGAGAGAAAGAAAGTGTCACTGGTAAAAGCCTAAATAAATGTCAGTGGTGTATGAGGAGTACGATAGCTTCTCTGTAGGGACCCGACGTTCACCCAGTGTGTGTGTGAGAGAGAGAGAGAAATTGAGGAGAGGACCTGAGACCTGATGTTTGATAACATTTACCTCATCTTATCAGAGCACATTTAAATGGCTATCTTTATTCTTTTCTTTCTTCTTTTCTATTTTCCACCATTTCTCCTATGTTGTTTCCATTAAGCAGTTCACATTAATTCATGAGGTACAGGTTGGAGAGAGAGAGAGAGAGAGAGAGAGAGAGAGAGAGAGAGAGAGAGAGAGAGAGAGAGAGAGAGAGAGAGAGAGAGAGAGAGAGAGAGAGAGAGAGAGAGAGAGAGAGAGAGAGAGAGAGAGAGAGAGAGAGAGAGAGAGAGAGGGGGGGGGGGGGGGACAGCCACAGAGAGAAGGAGAGAGAGACTTGTTTTATCAGGATGTCATTCAAATGGAGGGGTGAAAATTTGCATCACAACAGGCTGAAGAGCAAGAGAGGGAGACACAAGAAAAGAGAAAGAAGGAAAACGAAAGAGAAAAACCCCCATGGGAGAGGAGCGGTTTTAATAAACAGCAGGAAGAGGGTGAACACACAGAGAAACACACAGACCAGCCAACCCTGGACCTGCTCAGACTGCAGAAAAATCAAGAGAAGTGCAGGAAGGCCAACGAGACAATTCCCTAGAATCTAGATAAACACATGTCCCTGTTAAATGCCATGACTGTCTCTCGAAATCATACTTAAATGAATTTAATTCGGCCATGAAAATATCAGATATTAGGAATTCAAATGAATATTTATTTTCTAAGTGCTTTCACATTCATGAGCTATTTATTCAAGCTCTAACAATCCTACAAATGTAATATTTGTACAACTAATAAAACGTAGAAAATAGCTTGATCAGGTTAAACTCAGGAAAAAGGCACCCACAATTTCAATATAAATAATATAAAAAAAAGAAATGAAAATATATATAGTTAAAAAATGTCTTTAAAATGTTTAGATGAATGAATATGGCAGGTATTGTAATTTTTCTCATTTTCCTCTCCTGTTCATTTATGATTTATTATGGTTAGCAAAATAAATGATATAATGTGATAAATTAAAAGTTGTATTTTTATTTACTTTTATTCTTGGAACAAATAATATATACGCAGTAATATAACGTTCGATTTAAAAAAAAAAAAAACCTTAGATATTTCCGAAATATTAATTGAAACAAAAAATGTATATATAAACTGCACAGCTGACACTCTGCTTTATAAATACCTGTGTAGGCTATATATTTGTTTATTTATTTATATTTATATAATAAAATACCCTTGAATTTTGCATTTAACTTCTATATATTGAAATTAAATAATTGAGGGAAAACAATTTAACATGGTATTTACAGACACAAAACTGTACATCTATGATGGGTGGATGTCAGCGCACTTAAATTGTGTTTCTGACAGAAGGAGGACCGGTATCTCACAGTGAGCCTGAGACTGTCTCACCCCTTCATATACACACACACACACACACACACACACACACGGCTAGCTCAAGAGCTGGTCCTTAGCCCCAGAAGCACATTAGATGTGATTACTGCTCAAAGAGCGAGAGACAGACAGACTATGATGATACAACAGTGCCCCCTACTGAAAGTAACTACAGCACTGAGAGCAGAGCTGTGTGCTCAACACATACACACACACATATGGATCAAACATGTGCCAAACAGACAGCACTGATCAGCTGTGATCACCTAGATTTAAATAACCTCTGTATCCTCTCCAGCATCAGAGACTGGGGTCATCTGCAGGCAGAAGGGTGACTATGCGGACAGGCAGTGTCCTGAAAAGGTGAAAACATTCACTGATGCTCCAGAAGGAAACACGATGCATTAAGAGCCGGGGGGTGTAAACATTTTTGAATTTGAAGATCAAGGTAAATTGCACTTAATTTGTCTTCTGGGAAACAAGCAAGTATCTTCTGTAGCTTCCGAAGGGCAGTACTAAATAAAAAAATATGATATTAAACAAAATAAGAAAAATGTACTTCATCCAGTTCAAAAGTTTTCACCCCCGGCTCTTAATGCATTATTTCTCCTTCTGGAGCATCAGTGAATGTTTGAACCTTCTGTAATAGTTTGAGTACCGGTACCTCAGTTGTCCTCTGTAGGATTTTGAGATCCATCTTTATACGCTGTCACTTCTGGAAAGGGTTCAAAAATGCAAGAAAACCAAAGAATTTGCGGCACCTGGAGGATTTTTCTGAAGAACATTGGGCAGTTTTGCCAATTGCTCAGGACAAACAAGAGACACCCATGGATCATAACAAATTCAGTTCCCTTTCGCCTCTTCTTGAGCTTGAATATTTAAATTGGAAAGGCTTAATCTTTCCTGACGATGCAGCGCTGGCCCGTCAACTGTCCCAAGCGTCATTCACGTTTGTTCACATTCATGTTCTCACAACAGTGCATTTTTAGAGTTCATAAAAATGTTACTGGCCAACTGGCGATTGACACCATTTCATATACTCGCATTTGGCGCTTGACGATTGTTAATTTTAGGCCCTGTATATAGCTTATTTTCTATATTCACCGCCCATTGACCATTGTGAAATGAACCTTTTATTCTTACAAACAAAAAACAAAAAAAATTGTAATGAAAAAGAGGACTAGGTTGGATGACTAGGTGGTGATGTTGTTAACACAGATTTCCTCCATGTCTCTGATTTTTGTCTTACGGACAGCCACACAGAATATGGACACTTGTTTCACATTTACCACAAGGATTGTGGGTTTAAATATTGTACAATGTGTTAAGCAGTACTGGAAATACAACACTGTACTGGTAGTTGAAAGCATAATCAAATTAGCCAAAATATTTCATAAACAAACATGCACATGTACAGCTGAATGTCAGACGCTGAATTGAGCGGAAATCTGGGCGCAGATTCTGTACAGGCCTGCTTACAGTTCATTCCATCACTCTTACCATTCGCTCCATTTCCTTCCAGTCTTTCTCCATCTGTTCCATGGGTTTAGTCCACCAGCTGCAGAATCGAGCGTAACGCCGGCCCTGGAACCAGTATTGTCTCAGCCATTCAAACTCCACCTGAAAGGAGCAACACAGGGTCAAGACGTTAAAGCAGCAGAGTGTCATTTCCACACCGCTAGAGACACCTAAAAAGAACTGCAAAAATAATGAGTGTTTTTAAAAAGGTTTCCCAAATCCGCACCCATGTCTGCCATCGTTTGAACAAATGGGTAGCCTAGTTCTGGCCCAAACTAACAAAATTAGTTGATCAACTGACACTAGACACAGCTCAAACCATGTTAAAAAAAAAAAAAAAGAGCCACAGTGTTTTTACTTTTCAGGGAAAACAACCTTTGCATAGTTTATTTAAAGTTTATCAAAAACAAACTCCAAAGCATTTTGAACTAGGCCGGTGAAGTCCAGTCCTTGAACAAGAGGTCAAACCATAGCAAGCAGCTGACATCTACTTAACAATGTCTGAAAAAACAGCAGTCAAGTGTGTTTGATAGTCTGTAAAATGTGGTTGTTGGACAAAAATGTTTTGTGCTCCAGACATTCTTCACTATCCAGCTCTCTGGCCTGTGTGTACTGTATTATATCAGCGTGCTCTGAAACAACAGCAATCCAGACGTCCATCCATTTATCAAACTCCATCCATCCATCAGTGGGCAATTTAGTAGCAGAATAGAGCAGCAGAGGGGACTGTGTGCTAGTCACCTGAGTCAGTGAGGTGGGGAGATGGGGGAAGGGCATTTGTATGTGGCGGTGGGAGTGATTTTCAAAACTAAACACCCACGCTAAGGTCACACTAACAAGGGAACGCAGGTAGCCGCACATACACATACACAGATCCAGAACAAATCACACACACACCTCTGTAACCACATACATGCACAAGCCACTTGCTTTGTACTTGACATCTTTGCGTCTTTGTGTGCCGCTGATCTTAACTGTGTCATCAGAATAAAAAGGAGGGTGATGACATCTGCATTTCCTGTTTTCCTGTTTGTTGTTTTGTTTCCTTTGTTTATGTCTGCTGCTACGTTACACCCAGGAGAGACGTAAAGATTTATCACACACGCCAAAAACATCGCACCTACACACACTTCCCTTTCTTTCTTTTCGTTCTTTACTTCATTGCTTTCATTCTTCATCCTATCAATCTCTCACTTTCTCTCTCTACAGGGAGCAACAGAATCCACCACAGGCTCTCAACCTTTCTCCTCTGGGAATCTCCCCATCTTTGACTCTTTTGAAGTGATGAGTTAACCCTCCTAATGATGCTTAATGTAGCCACGTGCACGTGTGTATCTGTGTCTGCCCCACATGTAAATGTAAGCACCTCACATTTGCCCTCCCACAAGCTATGAACAAAGCACTGCTCCAAAATTCATTCTCCAAACAACAGACACCCTCTTCGCCTTAGCTAAGAGTTACAACTAAACAACACGCCAACAACATAACACCAGAACAGCAACCAGAACATCCACTCCGTCTCTTCACTGAATTTAACTATAAAGTTGCCCGGTTTGATCTAGAGCAACTGAATGACATGAAAGTAGGGCTGGGTATCGATTCAGATGTTCAAATTCGATTCGATTTCGATTCACAAGCTCGCAGTTCGATTCGACTATAATGAATATAGATGTAATACAAATCTCAGTCTAAATATCAGTTATCATTTTTTAGACAATTTTCTATTACATTGATCTCACCTAAATGTTTGTTTTTACAATGGGGTAATTTTTTTGTTAAGAGTTTATGCAACACATGGAAGCTTGATTTCAATCTTTGAATTAAATTGAAAAAAGCAGCACAAATAAATACAATAGAATAGGCCTAAAGACACAAATAAAGAGACATAAAAAGAAAAGTTTTTGGGTAGGTCAGAAATACTACATAAACTGAATAAAGTAATCCAATGTAAAATAACACTGGACAGTCTTTTAGTCCTGACTGAATTAAATACATAGGCTATTAATTCTGATTCCTTACAATTAATGCTATATTATGTTGTTTTGACAACAAAATTAATGACAGACACATATGGCTGCGTTCACTTTAAGAACTAGTGCACGGATCCATTACTGTTTCATTATACTGTCTGTCACACGCGTTTTATGCTTATTTAAGACATAACCGACTGTCTTTACGAGGTTACTCACCAAGACCAGACTTTTGACATCATTTTGCGTGTTTTTAACTGATAAAGTGATATAATCCACGAAAAAGAACTTTTGTTACTGGCGAGCTGTTTGTGAGGCGGATTTAGGCTTTACTGTATGTGCACGCAGTGAAAAACATCTCTGAGAGTGGGCGAGCACGGGATAGTTTAACATTGCTTGAATGTTTAAACTGGTAAACCTTAAAGACGTGAAAATGATAAACGTTAGTTACGATGCAATGCTGGCCCGATTGTGCAAGTGAATATTCCGTCATGTCCCGACTCCTAAACACGAGTGTGTATCGACGCCTGCAGCGCTTGACGCTTGCCTTGTGCAGAGCGAGAAGACGCAGCACCGCGAGCCCTGAATATGGAAAAAATCGATTCGTGGCCATTGAGAATCGATTTTGAATCGACCACATTTTAAAAAACGATTAATCGAAAAATCGATTTTTTTGCCCAGCCCTACATGAAAGTACACGATATTTTAAACAACAAACTCAAAAACAAAAAGAAATCATGAAATATTAAAGGCGTGGTTGATTATGATTTCACTTTTCTAACTGTAGTTAGTGTGTAATGTTGCTGTTTGAGCATAAACAACATCTGCAAATTTACAATGCTCAAAGTTCAAAGCAAAGGGAGATATTTGCTTTTAAAGAAAAGGACTACAACAAACGGCTGGTAGGGACTACACGACATTCCTCCAGGTTTAATGTACATAAACCCCGCCCCCAGGAACACGCAGTCCATTTTGAGAAGAGGAAAAGTTGTTGTATAAGAGTACATTTGTGAGTCAGCTCAAACTTTAGCATCCTTCTTTTCACATGCAATAAAGTCACTCTGTGTGCATCTCACAACAGTTCCTATTCGAGCGATTTATAGATTACCATGACAGAATATCCTAATTGAAGATAGTTAACTCCACATCAGCAACATAAATTCATCAACTAACCATTCAGAGACGTCCTGTTGCATTCTACATGTTGACACTTCTTCTTGAGTCTCTCCATCTTTGTCTGACTCCGTTTTAACATGAAAGGGAGAACAGTTTCTGTCATTTTAGTGTGTCTGCGCGAGTTGATCGCAGTTGCTAATAGTGATGGCCGGTTCTTTTTAGTGAACCGGTCGAACCAGTACACTAAATCGGACTGAATCGTTCGAAACAGTTCGCGCCTTGCGTCAGTGCTGATACACAAGTTACTAAAGTTACTCACTTTCAGACATGCCTGACAGTCCCTCTGACTCGAAATAAACCAATATCCCAGAGTATATTTCACTCCAGTAAATCCAACAGTTTGAAACGTGTTGTTTTTGAGAGAAGTGATGAGCACGAGCAGCTGATACTGCGCATGCGCGTGCTACCTAACGCACATGTACAGCGATTATCGGATCACCAGTACAGAACCGAGAACTGTTTCTTTCGGACACGTTCGACATAATGAGAACAACTGATCGATGAGCTGAGCATGCGTGCAATTTTTTTCTGAGGGACGAAATGTACCTTTCTTAAGTATTTATTTAGTTGAACATCAGTAATGTTGGAAACATGTTTATCACATAATTACTGTATTATCACTGTATTATTTTAAAGTTTGGAAACACAATGAATGGATTGTAAAACTGTCAAATTAAACATTTATTAAAATAATATTTTCAGGAACAGCTCATTTAATTTCTAAGTAAGTTGATATAAATAGTTGACGTAAACTCTTGCCAAAGTTTTAATGGTGCACACTGCACAGTACTGCTTAGTAAATGTTTATAATGTGTTAAAACATAACGTATTAAACATATTGGAGAAGAAAGACATGCATCGATTTTTTTAGTTTTGTCGACTGTATATTCAGGTTTCAGCAGTTCTCAGCAGCACACAGGCCTATGCTACGGTTCTCGAGTCAAGAACTAGTTGTTGCAGTTCTTGAATCACCAGTACAGAACTGAGAACTGTTTCTTTCGGACACGTTCGATACGGAGAACCGATTAGCTGGAGATACTGAGCATGCGTGATAGCACCGTCTCTAAACAGAACTTTCTTTTGACCAACTGATGATGTGCTGATGAGCACGCAGCACGGGTGAACCGAGGACTTAAATGAGGGGCCGAATTCGGCGAAATGATGAAGACCACTTATGCACTTTTTTAAGACATGTTAAACATCCGCGTTTGCACATCGCCTGCATGTAGGCTACAGGGTTCGTTTGCAAAATGTAAATGTAAGAAACTTATCCAAGAGGATTATGACGATGAGTACTATTATTTAAGTGAAGTTATGATTACAAATGCCTTTAATTTAAATGTATTTTTATCTGCCGGGATGATATAATTGACGTCATTACGCGAGGACGTAAAAGAACTGGTGAACCGGTTTTTTGAACCGGTTCATTGAAACGAACTGTCCGAAAGAACCGGTTCGCGGAAAAGAACCGAACTTCCCATCACTAGTTGCTAACACGCACGAGCTCTTGAAACCCCGCCCTCTGCAGCAGCTCATTTGCATTTAAAGGGCCAGGCACAAAACGGTCCCTTTTTGCAAACCCTCAAAAAGTGACAACTTTAACATGCTATATAAACATATCTGTGGGGTATTTTTGTGCTAAAACTTCACACACACACTCTGGGGACATCAGAGATTTATTTTACATCTTGTGAAAATGGCATTTTACCACCCCTTTAAGAACAGTTTTGATTGTTTTTATATTACCGTTCAATAAACAAGGAATTAATACGAGTAACTTAGATTTTAGATACAATATTGTCTGTTGTTGTGTTATTGTCTGTTGTTGTAGTCATTTCTCATTATTATAAATGTTAAAAACAGTTGTGTTGCTTAATATTTGTATTTTATTTTATTTTTTCAGGATTCTTTGATGAATACATTACTGTAATAATAATTATCTTTACTGTAACATTTGAACAATATAAAGCATACTTGCTAAATAAAAGTAGCAATTTATTTTAAAAATGTATAAATTATACATAAAATATACATAAAACTAGTTTCCTTACATTATAGATGTAAAAAAAGAAAAAAGTGAAGACAATGTAAAAAATTCATTGTAACATTTAATGGAAAATATGAATATACAAATATGAAAATATTTTTGTACAAATAAAAACTGACATTCGTCCAGTCCAGTGAAAGCACTAGCAGGGCAAGAAAAATATTAGTGCCTCAACTGGATAGCAGTAAAAAAAAAAAAAACTCCTCACTGTTTAGCTACTTTTAAGTTCGGAGTAGTACAGTGTGTTTAGCATTAATAGCACTATGTAGTATGAGCATGTATTTTTAAACCTTGCACCCAAAAAAAATTAATAAAAAAAAACTGGTGTGAATGGGTCCATTATTTTACAGACTGTAAAACTGCACAGCTGACACTCTTATTCTGCTTTATAAATACCTGTGTAGGCTATCAGTCTTTAAGCATTCAAACTGGCTTGAACGGGTTCATCTTTAGTTGGACTGAGATCAGACACCCAGGGTTCACTTTCACATATGGCCACCTTCAAAGAAATGCTACACTTTGTGTTGGTTCAAACCTACAATTTTTGCAGACCAATACCGACCGCTGACAGCCTCTCAACAGACGCCGGAGGCTACAAATGCTAGCAGCCGCTTTTGTGTCTGTCGTTCCCCCCCGCGTTGATTGTCTGTCTGTCCTTCTGTGTTGAAAGCCCACACAGCGCCGAAAGCTTTGAGCCAACATGGAGGCCAGTTTCCCGCAGAGCAGGCCTGTAACAGGCACAGAGCTGGAAACTTTGCGACTGGCATTTAGAGCCAAGCCGTCTGCTGCTGTGAGGTACTGAGACTAAATGCCACCTGCATATGCTGGAGGTGAGAAAGAGAGGAAACAGACAGAAACAAAAAGGCTTTCAGTGACAGGTGGAGAGTCTGTCGGTCTATTTATCCAGCTGAACGTGGTGGTAACTACACATTAGCTGTACTAGTCAGGTGGTCATCACGGTGACCTCCAGATATAACACTGCGGCATCTTAAATATTAAATGGGTTAAGGTTTCCAGACATCTCTCTGAAACGGCTCACTGTTTGGACTACCAATCAATTTCACCAGAGCACCCTCGAGTCCAGAACTGTTGTGACTCAATCAATAGAGGCCAGTCTGTGCTGTTTGCGCTGTAAACCCACATATGTGTACACCTGGTCATACAAATAAAGAGCCATATGTGCATGCACATCAGCTCAGACAATGAGAATTGTAGCGATGCAAAACATAAGAACACATAACTAAAGCATTCAGTCACAACTTCTTGAGGCAAAGGTTTTTGATGCACATCTAGGAATTTTTTTAATAAATGTTATGTAGTTTATGCATGTTTATGTGTATTTTGGCCATTTTATTTGCATCTTGGTGTTTAGAACCCCATATATTGCACATAACTAAGGGAACACAAACATTTCTAGTGCTTACACAAAACTTGTGCATTCTGATCGGTCGAACATTAATGGATATCCGATTACTGATGCAAAACTTGAATATGCACAAGCAAATTCGACTAGAGAGCAATGGTGGATAGATTTTTAGTGAATAACGACTTAAATTTCTGTCTGTTCCTCATACAAAGCTATCACCATATGGCTCCAGAAGAAGAAAAAGATGACGCAGTATGAAGCTACTACTGTCACACAAAATCATGTCGCCAGAGTAAAAAAATAACAGTGAGACACTTCACCAGGCTCACCAAAGTTGTTTTTTTTTTTTTTTTTGGGGAGGATTTTGTACCCAAAATAAACAATAAACTCAAATTAAACAAAGTTAAAGGTGCAGTGTGTAACATTTTTGAGTATTTATTAACAGAAATGCAATATGACATCCATAACTATGTGTTCAGTGGTGTATAAAGAACTTACTTAATAAACCGTAATGGTTTTATTACCTTAGAATGAGGCATTTATATCTACATAGGCGCGAGAATCCCCTTCTATGAAGGTCGCCATATTGTGACGCCACGTTTCTAAAGTAGCCGAACACGAACAAACAGCGTTACAGAGCGCGTTTCGTCACTACCTTGAAAGAGAAGCCGCAGGAAGCTAGAAGAAGCTAGTCATAAACACCGTGAGTAGTGACTTTTCCCTTGTCAGTGGTGTAAATATGTAGTTGGATTGTTTCATGTAACTTAATTCTTCTCCCTCGCTGTGTTATGGCTTTGCTATGTGGGGATAAATGTGCTGGTTAAGTTCGTGAGACAGCTGATTAGTAGGCTACTCTTGTCATTGACCGTAAAACAGTTACAGGAATCACCAACCCGTCGATCTTGGAAGCATTTTAAGTCGATCGAGTTTCCAAAATCAGAGCCTATTGTGTGTGTAGTAAGTGTGTCTAGGGGATGCGGAGTCGCGCGCGCTGTTACAATCACGTCATTTTTGCCGCACGCACCTTTGGGCTCATGCGGACGCGTCGAGTTTAAACAAGGCTTTACGCTTTAACCAGCTCAGCCACAGTAACAGCTCATATTAGCCAGCTAAACTTTTACTACCCTGTTAGAAAAAATATATAGTTGCATAGTTTCATGTGGTTCTTCTCCCTCGCTGTATTATGGGTTTGCTATGTGGGGAGAATGTGCTGGTTACGTTCGTGAGACAATCAGCTGATTACTATTATTATATTATGTATTAAGACCCTTGATCCTCACCTGAAACTTTATCCATGATGTTGTTTATAATGGACTGTAGTACAGAAACTGGGTTTACGCTGGCTATTCTCTGCTGTCTCAGACGACGATGGTTGTCCCGTTTTAGCCACCGTAGCTTCTTCGAAAGGGAGGGGTGGGCTGAGCCCTTAGTGTAAACTCGCAACCGAACCGCTAGATGTCGCTAAAAATCACACACTGGACCTTTAAAGATAAATTTGCCTAATAGCATTATTTATGTTTTACAATTTCTATAGATATCATGATAATCTTGCTTCCGTGAATTATGTTGTTCATAATAATGTAGTGAAAATCTGATTTTGTGAAAGCCCTACATTGAGTGTATAGAAATTTCAAATGGACACAAGAAAGCACACTTTCACTATATAGAAAAGAGTAACTTAGACATTTCCAAAACATACAGGTTAGCAATGACTTGAGGTTGAGTAAATGATGACAGAATTGTTAGGTGAAACAGCCCGCTAATTCCACAACGATGCAAGCTCAACAACTTTTCAGAAAACTCTGTGGGAAAAAACGTTGGGAGTGTGAGATGCAGTGAGAGAAAGAGAGAGGAAAGGATCTCTTTCCCAACAACCTCTCCAGCAAAGACCTCCCCTGAACCTCCATATACCAGTACCAACCCTTAAAAATGCAAGTAAACATTGGCCTTTATCAACATCAATGGGCTAACCCAGTAGCACACTACAGATCGCCCATCAGAGGCTGCTTACTGCAATCTCCATGCAGTCCACCACACTAAACAAAAGGTAGACGCTGAGCTCTGCTAGAACAGTGTGCTGGGATAAATACACATATCAATAATAAATAATACACTAATACATCATTTAAGAACCCACACAGGCCCTCGTGGGCAGTTTCAACAAAATAGCCTCAATCAGGTCAGAGTGTTGAGGTCGGTAACCCCCGGGGAGGCTGCAGCCCCCGGGCAGGGGTATATATATATATATATATATATATATATATATATATATAGCACTTTATATTTTCAAGGGTTTTTTAAGGTGCTGAGCGATAATCCAGGTGAGTTGGGGTTGTGGAGACCTACACAAGGCCGCACTGATGGTTAGGCCCTCTGAAAGAGCTATTGTTTGGAGTTTGAAAAATTAATGGCAAGTACAACCTTTAAAAAAACCTCAGAGCAGCCTCATCTGTCATGGCCTGAGACAACGCGTTTGGGATTTGGTGTTATGAGTACACATTTTACAATGCTTAAAAAAACGTTCACATACACACCTCGTTGTGAATGTCCTCAATGCACTGAAGGGTGGAGGGGAGGAGAGAACTTAGACTCTTGGTGTTCTTCTCGGTGTTGGTGTGTAAATTCTCCAATGCCTCTGAGCAGCGTTTCTGTATGTAGTCCAGTGTACCTGTACAACACTGAAGGAACCATTTTTTTTTTTTTCATATAAACCAGAAATTAGGGGGTTATTGGTTGAGGACATGAAAGTTGATAATGCTACAGGTGCGATCAGGGCAACTGGAGAGATGATGCTCACCTGTACGACTCTGTGAGTGGAGCTGAATCTAGCTGTGTCACCAGCCAGTACACAGTGCTGATGTGTCCGATTCAGATCATCTATACAAGCACATGCCAACAGCCACAGACACGCACAGACAACAATCAGAAGAAACACACTTTAACATTATTATAAACTCTGGCATGGAGCATTTGTCTTGGTCGATCAAACTCTTAAGGCCCAGAGGCCCTTAAAGCGAAATCGAAGAACTGGGAATGAGGCCAAAGTGAAGTTCGTTTGGAGAGTGATCACTCTGGCTGGTAAACATCTTCAAACTAGCATTGGTCTGTGGTCTCTCACACTAGAGAGCTGCTTTATAGTAGAAATAGGAAAATGTTTTTCCATGTTAAATACTGTTTAAAACTGCTTTTTTCTCACTGCTGTCATTTTTGTTGCGTTTTGGTGAGTTCAAGACCTCCTGGGAAGTTTGTTTTTACAAGTTGGGAAGACGTAATTACATTGTCAGGTGCATTCAAGTCACTTGCATCTAGATCCGAAACTCGGTATCGGCTCAGATACTGCCTTTAAAGTGTAAATTGCAGGTACAATTTTTCACAAAGATAATGCAATGTGCTTACTAAACATAAAGATAAGAACCGCCCACCTTTGTTTTTTTATGTTTTTTATACCAAAATGCTGAATATAATATGAAAAGTTGGTGCGTTTTACAGTGGTTTTAAAGGGATACTCCACCAGTTTTTCTTATTAAACTATGTTATTCCCTTAACTAAGACGAGTTGATACATACCTCTCTCGTCTCAGTGCGTGCACTATATCGCTCTGTATTGCCGCAAAACTATGTTAGCACTTAGCTTAGCCCATGCATTAAATATGGGCCAAGCAGAGAAGCGACCAAACACTTCCACGTTTTCCCTATGTAAACACAGTTACTCGAGTAGTGTAACTTGACCTGGGCTGGTGACACAAAATAAACCGTTGCGCTTTTCTAAGCGTTTAAAATTGATGACTATATTGTATGGCGGAATACCATAACAAGTGCTTTTGAGCACTTCGACTTGGCGCAATAATATCTTCACTTGTGAAAAGTCCTCTCACCGGCTCCCGCTTCCTCTCCCCCTCCCTCTGACATTTCCGTCAATACAACCAACGTGACATGCGCCGGTAGTAGTAGTTCGAGCGGAGTTGACGAAGTAACAGGTTGTTGGAAGCTAGTTTGTGTACAATAATGGTTAAAGCGTGCATCGTAAAGGGTTGTGAAAATAAGGAGAATGTAGTGCTGTAATTTTTCACCGAATTCCAACACACCACATACAGCGGAGAGCTTGGTTAGCTGCTTTGAACAAGAATCCCAAAACACCATTGATGACTCTGAAGAAGTGGCGTGTTTGCTCCGAACATTTCACAAAGGAGGACTATACCTGCACAGGAACACGCCTAAAGGATGAGGCTACACCAACAATATTCAGATCACTTACAGAAAGCCCGTGGTCTTTCGCCAGCTCCGGTCTGTTCTGGATCATATCTTTCTTGCCTCTCACGGTCCATAAGAGCTAATTCCTCCTCCGTGTACTCGGGTTCAAACAGATATGGCTCTGGGTCTGCTACAAAGAAGTCATAATCATCTACAAAGTCCGCCATTGCAAATGATCTGCAGTTTGCTAATAGCACAGGTAGTAAAAGTCACGTTGGTTGTATTGACGGAAATGTCAGAGGGAGGGGGAGAGGAAGCGGGAGCCGGTAAGAGGACTTTTCACAAGTGAAGATATTATTGCGCCAAGTCGAAGTGCTCAAAAGCACTTGTTATGGTATTCCGCCATACAATATAGTCATCAATTTTAAACGCTTAGAAAAGCGCAACGGTTTATTTTGTGTCACCAGCCCAGGTCAAGTTACACTACTCGAGTAACTGTGTTTACATAGGGAAAACGTGGAAGTGTTTGGTCGCTTCTCTGCTTGGCCCATATTTAATGCATGGGCTAAGCTAAGTGCTAACATAGTTTTGCGGCAATACAGAGCGATATAGTGCACGCACTGAGACGAGAGAGGTATGTATCAACTCGTCTTAGTTAAGGGAATAACATAGTTTAATAAGAAAAACTGGTGGAGTATCCCTTTAAGCACGCCCCCCTCCCTTCCACTAGACTGGGCGTGACGTCATAAAAGGTACTCCAAGCTTTTACTGTCTATGCTCTAGGCCTGGAGTTACGTTACATTGGAGACCTAGCTAGCAAAAATGGTTAACTATTGTGTTTGTGCGGGGTGTACGAATACATCAAAAACGGGGGAGAGGCTCCACAAGTTCACCAAGGACAAACGGCTGATTCGTGCCTGTAAGTGTTAGCATAACTTACCCGAGGTAGAGCTTAGATTGGGCCTAAAAAAAAATCAAGCAAGACCCTACCCGAGCCCGCTGTGTCCGAGCCCGGTCCGGCCCTGCCCGACACATTAACTGTAATTATGAGCCCGGTTTAAACCCGACTATTTTTTAATACGTGGGTCGTTATAACTGACGTTCTTAACTACTTTCTATATTACTTTCTCCCGCCCGCAACATTTATGTTTTGTCCCGCTCCCACCCGCAAAAAGACTTTTTTTCTGTACCTCCAAATACTTTCAAGTTAGCCTATGTGCCGCCACCATACACATCAGCATACATGCTCCTGATCACTGTTATAACATAAAAGCAAGCGGGCTACTGCGTGCATGGTTTGGCATGACTGCTCGCAGAGTGCGCTCCCATAATAATTCCCAAAAAGCTGACATCAGTTCATCGCGATCTCACACATCTCTGTTATTATCAATGAATCTTTCATAACTATAGGTGTTTCTCAATGTCAAGGATACTTCCTTGGCAGGACTCGTCCTTCCAAGTCATTTCCTTCAGAGGCAAGGCGAGGCTCCTCTTTGCATTCGGAGAACACGTAAATGGAACAGGCTAGCAAGTGCACGTTATTGCGTCATTACTTCAGTGAAAAGGTCCGTTGGTCCCTGCTAAAAAAGACGAGAAAGCTATGAATAACGCTCCGAATGGTATAATATTAACGTTACATTACTTTGTACAACTTAAGTAGTTATTTATAAAAGAAATGCCGGTGACGGCAAACAAGCTAACAATTGTTAAAATGACAGGTCCGGTTCAGTTAGCCATCATCCCATCAATAACGTATTAAATTAGTATATATTTGTATAATTTGTAATATCAATACGGTAGTAATTTGTACTGGCATTTAAACGTTAAACTTTACTTATATGACGGTTATAACAAATGTATGGTAACGTAAATATTTACATTTGAAAGCATTTTGCCCCGTTATTGCTCCGACTCCGCTAACGTCCGACATTGTGTATTTTTTTAACAAGATAGCAAAGCTACGCGCATAGGATTGTGGGCGATTTGAGAGCGCGAAGAGCGCGAAGTCTACACATATGCATCCTTTCCTGTGTATGGGATATTTTCCGAACGAAGGGCTCAGTCCTTGGTTGAAATTCTGAGGATCCTCGACATTGGAACAGTCCTTCGACGGATGTCGATGACGTAGCATCCTCGAAATTCCGGCTTCCGAGGATCCTTCCTTGACATTGAGAAACGGCTTATGTTTGTTATAATTAGAGGATTTGCCAGCATACAGAATTCAGCACTGAACAAAAAGTCCGTTTTGAGCAGTGAGGGGAGTCCATCGTAAATGCTTCTGATTGGCCATTATTGCGTTCAAGAAATCAACACATATGTCTGTGATTGGCTACATCGCTCAACGCTGCAAACATGTTTGAAATAGAAACTCTGCCTGTAAACCGTTTCTATTTTGTTTTAGTTGTTCTTATTGCTTTTCTGCAACAGATGAAGAAAAATGTATTCGTTTTTATGTTTTATTCATAGGTATTTCTAGTTTGCGGAAGTCCCGCGAATCGTTTTATTCTCCCTCAACCGGCACACACAGAGTGAGTGCATTACCGCCCGCGCTCCCTTTTATGACGTCATCACCCAGTTACGTAAAAAACATGCTACCTTTGAAGAAACCCCAATAAATGTTATTTTAATGCATTTTAAGACAGAAATGTTTTACATACACATTGAGCACTTTAATTTACACATTAATTGGTTGTGGTGGTTAACCTGCAATTTACACTTTAAAGCCGCCTTTCCACTGCACACAACATTCGCATATGATTGTCGCATTTCGCCCCCTAGTGTGTCAGTCGCACGGAACTTTGAAATTGGTGGTGAAGCAACCGCTACCCTCGGCTATTCACAATGGTAAAATTAATGATGAATGAAGTGCATGCATGAATATATCCACACAAAATGAATGACCCTCAATACATCTACAATAAAAACAATAGATTTTACAGAGCTAATCAATATAAATATTGATTTAATAATTATAAAATATTTTTTCTGCCATAATTATTAATAACCGACATTTTAGAGAAATAGCGTTTACAGAATAACATTTAAAGGGGTCATATAATGCCATTTTTGTACAAGCTAATATGATTCTTTAGGGTCTAAATTAAAAGTTTGTAATATACTTTAATTAAAAATTCTCATTAGTATTGTAAGAAAACATTTATTTTACCTGGTCAAAAACAGCTCTGTTTTCAGCACGCCGTTTCAGTGCATATGCCTTTTAATGATCATGAGCTGCGCTCACTCCGCCCCTCTCTGTTCTGTGCGTACACCGTTTGTAACACAATAACACAATATAAACGTGGAATTATGAATTATATTGAGAACGTCATACATAGAAAACATGCCGTAATGTACCCTGACTGAGTGTAAACCTTAGACGCATTCATTGTGAAGCGTGCAGCTAGCGATTTGCAAAGATTAATATATTAATATAAAGTTTAATAAAACGTTTCACTCACTTCCGTTCTTCTGGAGGTTCAGCAGGAACACGAATAGCTGGTACCGATCCTTTTTAGCAAAGCTTCTTAGCAAAACCAGCTTTATACTGACCCTCGTTTATAAAGCAGTCTGGTGTGTGAAATGATTCGCGCAAACATGAAAGCATTGACGTTGCTCGTGTGGAATATTCCCTTTGAAAACAAACTCAGCCACTGCGTCTTCAGCGGTTCGGATTCAGGAACATTAAAA